CGTGCAGTATTTTTTAGAGAAATGAGAAAAAAAAAAATTCCACTATTTCAAGTTATGGTAATTGGTAAATGATATAATAGGAAATTGAAGTGTAAAACCAAAATGAATTTAATATTTCTTGTACGACACTTCAAGGTTTTACTAATTTGATAAGTGTTAATTGTCGTTTCTAGATGAATATTTGTGCGTATAGACATGTATATGTATATATATACATATATATGTAAGTGTTGATATATTGATTTTGTACCTAATTTTCTTTATATTTTTATTTTATCTTTGATTAAATTCAAATGTCGTGACATTCAGGTCAGGAAATTTAGTTCGAGATAAATTTTTGAATTAATAAAATATATATATATATAATCTTATCTTATTTTTATTTTAATTTTTTGAAAATTTTGAGAAAATAGGATCGTAAATAAAATTGAAAATAATTATAGAGAAAATGGATGAAATTGTGAATAAGTTAAATGTTTTTGAAAAGAAATTTGAAAATAGGGAGTAAAATCGTAAAAAAAAAAAAGTTTGGCCACGTGGGCGGCTCAGTCAACAGCCACGACAAGTGAGAACGCACCACGTGGCGAACATGCTGACGTCAGCTCCACGCAGGCGATCCGCGTGCCCAGAAGATCCGACATCCAAGATCCAATTCTGCGCACACAAATGACCCAAATGCATTCCCTCGTCATACACGATCGACAGATGTGATTGATCGCGATGGACAGTCCAAATTTGCCCACGCAATCAACCTAAATAAGAAACGATCGAACAGCTTTCATCGCTCCACGTTGATGCGAATGAACAGCCAGGATCAGAGAGAAGAGAAGTATTTAAACCTTTCTTCAGTCAGCCCCGAAACCCTAGTCGATACCAGATTGGAGAAGAATAAGAGGGAGGGGAGGGACGCCATTGTTGTCGCACCAGAGCCACTGTCGAAGCCGAGATAGGTAAAATTTTTCCCTTCCAACTTGGAATTCAATCCCACATCTCTCTATGCCTATGTCGGAGCCAAAGGGTCGACGGGTGAGCCAAAAATCACAAGTGAAGCTCGACCGAAACGTCCGTCCAAAACTCAAAACCCTCTCCCATGACCCCCTTCCCGCT